TCTCTTTCGCCTGTTTTGTCTGTGGTTCCTCTCAGTGCCTGATAAGCAGTTCTGTCGTTCCATGGAGAATCTCAGCTGCAGCAGTGCCTTGATGGACAAACACAGAGTCTCAGCGCGAGGACGTTTCCCGACGTTACCCCTCTCCAGTTCCTCTGCCTCACCCTCGGGTCACCTCTCGGTTCCAGGCGTCCCGATCGCCCGCAGCCAAAGCTCCAGCAACCTTCCCCAGAACCCATACCAGAACCAGGACCCGAGCCCCAGCAGCCCGACTAAATCCTGCAGCCAGTGGGACATGAGCGCGGCCGCTCACAGACACACGCAGGGACGCATACAGGTGAATAAGCTTTCCAGTGATGTATGGTTTGTTTGGATCGGACAATATTTGGCTGAAATACAACTATTTGAAAATCTGGAATCTGAGGGTGCAAAAAAATCTAAATATTGAGAAAATCATCTTTAAAGTTGTTCAAATGAAGTTCTTAGCAATGCATATTACTAATCAAACATTAAGTTCTGATATATTTACGTTAGGAAATTTACAAAATATCTTCACGGAACATGATCTTTACTTAATATCCTAATGATTTTTGGCATAAAAAAAATCTATAATTTTGACCCATACAATGTATTGTTGGCTATTGCTACAAATATACCCCAGCGACTTAAAGGCTTGTTCACACCGGCACGAATATTGTGCGCGATTATCGCCGACGTTTAACGCCTTGTGACTAAACAAAGGGCACCAATGTGAGTGTGCACACCGACACAAGGCGTAAAAGCGTCATTTAAAAAAAAAATGCTTTGGGCTCGTTTTTTTGGTTTGGCGCGCCGCGTTAAAAACTGGCCGACCAATGAGATTGCCGCTTTTGTTCACGTGCCTGGAGCTGCTGAAGTTACAGTAAAACACGACTTGGTGGCGCTCAAGCACAAAACGGTCTTGCCGAGCACACATTGATACCTAACGACGAAGAGGAAGCAAGTAGACCAAGAAGATGCATCGAGGCAAGATGAATGTAGAGCTGCTGGTCTCATTGGTGTCTGAACACAAAGGGCTTTATGACAAACGCAATAGCGACTACAAAAATCTTGATAAACATCAAAAATCTCAAATCTCAAATAGATCAAATAGGATTCGATGTGCACCGGGGTATTTCTGTTTTTCATTAAGCGCCATCTAATGTCAGGGAGTGAATTTGCACGTTCACTCGGCTCATCGCCTGCGTAAATCGCTTGGGTATGAACACAAAAGAAGCGTTGAAAAACGTCGGCGATTAGCGCGCGCGATAATCGTCCCGTGTGTACGAGGCTTTAGACTGGTTTTGTGCTCCAGGGTCACATACTGTATATCATAACTGACGCTTAGTGTTGGGAAGTTACATGTAACTAAATTACGTAATTTAATTACAAAATAAATGTAATTGTAATCAGTTACAGTTACTTAGAAAAAATGTGTAATTAAATTAGTTACTTATGAAAACGTTAACGATTACAAAGGGGGTTACATCTGAATTTTTTTCACGCACACCCACATTTAATTGTCATTCACTATTGTCACTCAGAAATCGATTTTATTTAAATCATAAAATCATATTTTCAAAATGCATTTATTCAAATTGCTTAAAATCAGCATAAATTAGTTTATTATGAAAATTAAATTGGATTGAATAAAATGGATTCAATTAAAAATTATGAACTCAGTTTTGTATATACAGTATATAATCAGTTTAAACAATTTTCAATTAAAAAATTTATTTTATTTAAATCATAAAATCATATTTTCAAAATGCATTTATTCAAATAACCCAGAATCAGCACAGATCTGTTTATTATGAAAACAATTCAGTTTATTTAAGTTAAAAAACTATGACTGGTTAAAATATTGCTATCTGTGGAACAAGCAATATTTAATTAGTTGAAAAAATATGGATTTATTAATGACAGATATATCAATAAAAATATATAACTAGAGTCAAACCAAAAAGTATTCAGACACCAGATATAATTTGATATTTTTTAATAGTGGGTGCACCGGTGCAGGACACTATATTAATTTATGTAAGTGAGGATAGCGAAATAAAGTAAACTGTGATATGTTATACACAATAATTCTTCATACAGTGGACTAACCAGTAAAACTGATAACAATTTGGGACCAAAAATTATTCAGACACTTTGACCTGACCATGTTTTACAAAATAAATCCTATACTTAATTTGGTGTAGAAACAATTTTCACTCAGACATGGCTAGTCAATTTTACAAATAATTACAAAGAAATTGCAAAATAACATTGAATTGAATATGAAATTTGAAGCAGAAAGACTGAAATAGTATTTTCTTGTAAAACGTACCGCAGTAATATTTGTGTTATTTAGTTTTTGCCAATATACACTCAAAACAAGCACACACACTCTCATATTTCACAGAAGTTCTTGAGTTTGAATTTTTAACCAGCTCTCGATATACAGTAGATCCTTAAATACAATCCCTGTTGAAAACCGTGGCCACTCCGTGCCAGAAAATACTTTTTTCTGGCACAGATACTAGAGGAGCCATTACACAACACACACACTCACACTCACGCTCACGCTCACGCTCACACACACACTCACACTCACACACAC